ATTCAGGTGGGGACTCAGACTAAGTATTACATGGTTTATAATCACGTTACCATGGTAGAGGTATGTATATTCAGGTCTGCTCGGAATGGTCGCCGGTCCATTCTGGGTTCTAGTGGCCCTAGTCTAACCACTAGAGTGTGCACATGGCGTCCGACTTTGCCGGCAGATGTTCAGGTTCAGTTCAGATGTGACTTCTGTCACGACGTGACTTCGGTCGCGAGATTCCGTTATCAGTTACGTGACTTATGTCGCGAGATCAAACCGGTTATCAGTTTTTATCAGTTATCAGATATCAGTTCAGTTCAGTTATATATGCTTAGTTCATGATCATGTTATTATTTACGATGTATTACATTAGCATGAGTTTCTGCGGAGTACAGTGCCTTAGTGCTCACGCCCCACATTTTCATGATTTTCAGGTCGCAGGGTCGGGGACGAGGAGTGAGCGGGCGAGCTGTTCAGGATATTTGTGTTTTGATGTACTTGATGTTGAATGATTAAACTTTTCAGAGCTTTTATCAGACTTTCATGTTATTGCCACGCTAAGACTTCCGCTAAAACCTTCAGACTTTGTTCCGACGTTAGTCGGATAATAAATTATAACCGTTTCACGTTTCAGTTTTAAATTCTAACGGTTTTCAGAAGTCATGTTTTTCACGGTAACCCCCGAATCAGTTTCGCAAATTAAAAAGTTAGTTAATTTATTATTTTATTTATTCAGAAAATTTGCGAAAAACCGCGTACTCTGATGTATTAGTCAGACGGGGTGTTACATCGTGCGCTGGGCTCGGCGATGCGCGACTGCTCGCGGTGGCGTGCGGTTGTGCTCGGTTGGGCTCGGCTGACTTCTGGCGGCGGTAGGCGATTTCCGGCGGCGGTCACGGCGGCGATAGGCTGCGGTGATGGGATGATGATGACCGAAAAATGTGGTTATTAGAAAGCTCAATCAATTGTACCAAAAAACCTTCTAATGGATTACCTAAACACCTATTCCGATTAAACTTGGTGGAGCGTTTAATTGGATCTCCCTAACTCGCGAACAAAGTAATTCTCACGTGTATGTAGATGAGAAAATCGGCCAACATCAACTTGTAGGAGAGTTTGGGACATGATGTATATATAGGCTCCATTAGGGACCTTAAGGAGGTGCTAAATATAGGATTATTCCATTAGGCCTAGGAATCCTAATTCTAATCCAATACTAACTCAATCTA